GAGATAAAACTCAGAGGAAGTTGGGCAATCAGAATAAAGTCGCTGCAGGATTTGGCAGTGAACATGATAAGCCATTAGAAAATCTCTCGCACAGTTTTTCTAAACAAAATGGAAACGAACAATCGTCATCTATAGACATGTCAAAAATGAAACTTCCGGAAAACATTAAGGGAGGAATTTTATCTGTAGAGAAAGTTCCAGTAAAACAAACGAGGTTGCGGCTAGAAAACAGTTCTCTTCATGACAAAGAGCTACAGGGTCACAAAGAGAGAATCACTAAAAACGACGGTGCCCTGTGCTATGCTCAGTCACACACTGAGGTCTCTGCTACTAGATCAGAGACGGGTCCTAAAAATCATACTCAGATTGTGGTATTAGAAAAATCCAGTGACTACACATGCCCAGAAATGGGACAACAAAGGACAATCCCAGTGTCATCTGCCAATGCTAATGTTTCAGACCAAATTAAGCATTCCCATGCAGTAACATCACTGAAACCAGATGTGAATAGACCCAAGTTACAATGCAATACTTCGGAAAGTGTAAAATCTACCAGCATGGATGACATTCATGATTGTTCGTCACAATTCAAAGTTAACAAAGTAGATAAAGATACAAAAATGAAACAAGAAGAAGGAAAATCAGAGGCTTGTGAGGAAAATGATGATGAGAATAAACAGGAGCTGGATACAGTAAGACTAATGAATACAAAGAACATCCCTCTTCAAATTGAGCAGAAGTGCTACACAGATAAATGGAACTGTAATTTTGAACAACTGGGGGACAATTCAGAAATGCAATATACCTGTGAGCAATGTTCAGACATCGGGGAAACACAAGGCAAAACAGGCAGCCGTCTCACAGAACTAACTGCTGATATAAAACCACCAAGTGGTACTGCTAATCCTAATGGTGAAAGTCTCCATAATTTCACTAGGCTTACTCATCCAATACGTTTAGGAATTAGCGGAGACCCCGAGAATAATAAATGCAAAAAGCACTCCAGTCAAAATTCAGATGTGATCCCCAAAGAAGGATCAACCTTGAGAGTAGAAGCACGGAAAGCCTCAAGTTCTCCCAATGCAGTAGAAACGAGTGAAGAGAAATTTTTGTTTTCTCCAGACTTTTTGAGCAATGAAGGTGTTGAAAGAAGACCTACACAGACAGCCAACATCAGAAACGGTAATACGGTATACGGTAATAATGAAAATTTACTGAATGACAGCCCATGTATTGAAAACCCAAAACATGAACAAGGCAAAACTGATTCTTCACAAAGCAGTTCTATATACAACAAGGTCACTTGTAATACCCAAAAAGCCCAAAGTAATTATAATGAACCACAGGAATCTGACATGCTGTTGTGCATTTTACACAAAAGAATGCAATTTAGTCAAATGTCTCTCGCATCCAATGCAAAAGAAGAAATTTTAGTCTCTGATAAACCTTACCTCAGACCGATAATTCTCAAGAATTATCAAGACAACTTGCTTTCACCACTACAAAACAAATGCCCAACAAAAAACAACCTTCAAATAACAATAAAAAATTGTGAGAATATTATTTGTTCTGAACCAGAGGTTCTTTCCAGGAAATTTCCACTTATAAGCTATCAAAAGAACAGAAATAACTTTTCAGGCTTTGATGACAAGTCAATAAACAATTGCATTGCCACTACAGCTGTAAATAATAAACAAGAAAATGTACAAGATTTTCAATTCACAGAAAACACGGAACAAGCTTTGAACACTATTTTCACTTATGTTCCTGAGGTACAGAGCAAAAATGGACATAATGTTGAACTAGTAAAGAAAATGGCTGAGAAGTACTGGAGGAAACTTTCATTTAGACACAAACGAAAAAACAAAACGACTACCTACAAGCCAATTGATAAAAATCTGCATTCATATACATCTGCATTCACTAACTCACCTGGGAATCAATCGAACGTCAAAGGTTGTACTACACAACTACCACAAGAAAATGATGAGTGCTCATTATATGTGTCGACAAAGGAAGCAGCCAGAACTTCTAGATCAATAACAAGTCCTGCTGAGATGGTAGATGATACAATGATCCAGCAAATTTCACCAGATAACACTTCCTGTAGCATGAAACAGTCCAAAGAGTTTAATATTGGAGATGGAAATTCCCTGAGCAATGCTGCAGTGAAAAAGCACAATGTATCATCTCCACGGTCTACTGAACCATGTGTCTCATCAGAGTGCATGAAGAGTAGTTGGCATGTACGGAGGACTTCAAGTGGAGGCAAAGTCAAAAAGACAAAGCCTTTAGGTGACTTAAGTGGCTCTAGGGAGCGAGGTTGTAAAAGCAGACTGTGTCAGAGGGTGAAAACAAGAAAACTGCTTATGTACTATACAAACGGTGTGTGTTCTGTGTATGGCTGGCCTAAAAGGAATCTGCACAGGGAGAAGACCTTCAGAAGGGTGCATCATTGGAGGAGGGGTCAATCTAAGAGGCTCATAAAATCGGTGTTATTGAAAAGGAACAAGAAAGCAGAAAAAATAAATAACAAAAGAATGCCCCTAAAAGAGAACGAGGACAACGACAGAGTTGGTGATGATCTTTTAACAACTGAAGCAGACTATGAAAAGTGTTGTGATGGAAATGGGAGTGAAATAATCAGACCCCTTGATATGGTACCAGAAGAGTTGGAAGAATGTCTGACTTTCAAAGTTGTTTGTTCCTCTCCATTAGACACAGACATTGGATCTCAGAATTATGAGGAGCAGATTTGTGATGTTGATGGTACACAAACGGTTCCCATGCATTCCACTTCTGAAGAGGCTCTACTGCCGAACTCTACTGTCCAAGAGCAGAATGAAGTCCATGTGCGTTCAGATGAAAGCAGAGACCATATGAGCAATAAGACATCTCAAAGGGAAAGTATTTCTGAAACTTTCGCGATTGCAGCCTTTACTACTGGAGATACAAATAAAATGAAAAATGACTCCTATGACTTTCTTGGAGAATTGCCTGAAGAATCACAGAAAGAGATCCACTTCCTAGAAACTATGGAAAGCACACAAGATGACACCACTGCCCACCCAATGGACAATTTAATATCAAGTGAGCCACAGGTCAATATGGTTCCCAATCTGCAGAATGTAGCTGATGTTAACACCATTAATATAATGCAAAAATACAATAGTTCCCCTTTGCAAGATCAAAAAGATGACAGCAATATATCTTCTAGAGTTATACTTATTAATAAGCTGAAAAACTTCTTGAAAGGAGTTAGGTTTCAAAAAAGGGGGATAAATAAGCCCATAATTTTAAATAAAAGGACAAAGAAAACCAGGCAAAAAACTTGCAAGAACATGCAAGCAATTGTTCAAACTCCAGCGCAGTCCATGAAACTGGATGGTCGTCTTGGAGAGGAGAATTCGGTATGGAACCCTCAAGGTAACTTGCACACTTCCATTGCAAGACAAGAAAACTGTGGAAAAAACATTGCTAATCCTAACCAATGGGTTAGTGCAAAAGGGAAATCAAAAGAAAACACAGGTGAACGACATGACACAGAACCAATATTCAACACTACATCTATTGAGAGAAAACACAGAGTGAATGATATTTCAAACATGCTGAAAGAGGCCGATGTTGCAACTTCCATAGACAAGCTCATATCTCTGAGATCGAGATGCGAAGAGATGCTTCAATACTTTATTTCTACATTTGAGAGTGATCAGAATGTCAACTTCAACGAAGCTATTGTCTCAAGAGATCTAATTGTAGATCGATACCCAAATCGCCCCCCAAAACCTGTACATTTGAAATACGAAGCATTGAATTCGTTCTTTGAGTTACAGATGATGATGGAAGCCAAGCAGTTTGTTGAGAACAAGATCAGATTTTTACATGGAGAACCAACATTCAGAAGTTTACTGTGGTATGATACCACTCTTTATGCAGAGCTCTGCAAATGGAAGATCATGCGTCAACAGCAGGTGTCCATATATCCATTTTTGCATGGAAACTACTCTTGCGAAGGGTGCAGTCGATCGCATCATCATTTGTATATTCCCAATTATCTTGAACAGGAGAGATCTAAAGACAGTTCTTACTACATGTATCTCATGAAAAGGAGAGAGAGTATGGAGAACTTGACTGCACAGGAACATAAGTTAGATTCTGAGAACTTTCTTCACTCTGTGCCTCTAACTTGCAGTGTTAATTTTGGAGACAGCTTAGAGATTTTGCAAGTGCTACAGAAGTATCTTAAATTGTTTAGATTGGCTCATTTTAATCCATTGCAAGAAACAATCACAACTGAGCTGGACCTACATCTATCTATCTTGTGTAGACTTCTTCATCGTAAAATAAACTACTTGGTGAGACCCAAAGTAATAGACAACCATGTGTCCTGGTTTGGCTTTGAGCACCTTCTGTACGACGCTTCAAAGATTCTAATCTGGAAAAATCAAAAACCAGTGCTGAGTCTCAAGTCACTAACGATGTCTCATGATGCATGGCAACAAAGAGCAGCAGAGAATGGAGCTGAAACCCTGAGCACCCAGAAGCGGTCATTACAGAATGGAGCTGGAACCCTGAGCACCCGGAAGCGGTCATTACAGAATGGAGCTGGAACCCTGAGCACCCNGAAGCGGTCATTACAGAATGGAGCTGGAACCCTGAGCACCCGGAAGCGGTCATTACAGAATGGAGCTGGAACCCTGAGCACCCAGAAGCGGTCATTACAGAATGGAACAGCTCTGGTCATGGCAAGTAGCCCTCATGGTGCAGAGAGAAACAAAAAGAGAAGAAAATCTAAACAGGTAAAATCAACACAAAAGGCCGTCAGTCTGTAACATACATAGAGTATAGCCTTTCACTTATAAATTTATATATTTTTTTGTACTACTATAGTCAGTTTATTATATATACTGTGTGTGTATATATATATATATATATATATATATATATATATATATTCCTCAAAAGGAATGCACTTTAATTGGTAATCAACTGATAAATGCTACACCCAGGTTAACAACCATGTCAACCTACTTGACAGTAGGTTACTAATATTCCTGTCAATTTCCTGGCAAATTAAAAATCACATTCAACATTCCTGAAGTTAGAAAACCTTTTTTACATGTTGACATTAAGTTGTTTCTTTTGGCTCTTTTTAATCCATTCCATGATTTTATCAATTAACCATGTTTACGATCAAGCAGTGTGAAAAGGTACCTGTGGCCATGATTTGTCTCCAAAACACAAGACGGTAAGGAAATATATTAATATAAATGTTTGTGTTTTATTTACATATTCATATTCCACTTGGATTTCACTATTACATAAAGAAGTTGAATTTTTGAACAGGTGGAATGTTTAGTTTAACTCATACGATAATGTATCAGATGTCTTAGCTATGGTACCAAATAATGACTACAATAGAATCATTATTCTTTAATATGGAATTCATACTTTATACTTGTTAAATAAGATGAATATAACTGTGGAAGCCTAAATGATGTATATTGGAGATAGAAAGACTTCAAATAGTGTACTGAACTGCACAGCTGGTTAGAAAATCAAGTTATTTTACACCAGTTCAGGTTATTGCAAATGACACCCGCGTTGCACCCTCGAGATACTGAAACTAAGCTGCTTCCATAAATATCTTCTTGGTACTGATCCAAATTATCTTCCATTTCTGTCGACAGACCTGGGAATCCGCTGTTAATGCTTAATGAGGGCAGCGAGGCTTCGGACCATCAAGCCAAACGCGAAATGAGCCGAGGACCCCACTTGCCCTCAACTGGACCTGTGGTCGACAACAACGCCTGGTGCCAGGAATCCGTTGAGCAAGAGAAGAATATACAGAGTGCACCAGCTTGGGAGCACAGGGAGATGCTGAAACCTTTTCCAGAAATGATACCTGCCAATCCAGTCTTTGCAACCTGGGGTGAAAGGTCATGTGACCCTCACATTGAAGAGTGGCAACCCTCCGCATGCGTGTCATCCACCAAGGTTAAAACAGCAGGCCTGCAGACACATCCTGACATGTGGATCCATATGCACAATGCTAATCATAAGACAAAGCCCAGTTCAGAGTATAAAACATCGTTTCTGGCAGCGGGGATAGGAGGATATTCACCCCCCCGGGGGCAATGGTCTCACCCCTGGCATGAGTCTGTGCTGCAGAACCAACCTGCCACGGACGTGTGGGGCGGCTGGAGAAATGTGGCCCCCCACAATGGAGGCCTGACCTACCAAAGCCACCTGAGATCATATGATTTCAGATCCTCTTATTCACTACAGCTTCCTCAACAATTTGTCCCACTGGGAAGCTCACAAGTGCCCACCCCCCATTGGTCATCTCTGCCATTCCTAAGCACCCCCCAGCCAGACCACCTTTCAGACCCCCCCATGGTGGTAGACCCCCCTCTTCTTTACTGGAATCACCTGACCTTCACCTCCACCAGTCCAGCAGTAACTTCTAGAGCACTCCATGAGATTCAGTGTAAAGATTACCTGGCAAACTGAGTACTACAACTGCCCGCATTTATTATCCATGATGTCATTTGGCTTCATATAGCTGTTAAAGTAAAGTAACTCACTGACTCAGTGAGCCACACACACACATACATACACATTTTACAGACACCTTTGTTCAAAGTGACATGCAAGTGAGGCCAATAGCAAATTGCAAACAATTCATGCTGCCAAGGAGTCGACTAAGCTAAGTGCAGCTAGACAGAGCTTTCAGTGAATGTCCAGATACGAGTGTAAGCAGCACTGGAGCAGGAGTTACACAACAACTTCTAGCAAACCTAATATTTAATAAGACTACAGAGGGAGCAGAAGTGCAACATAAGAACATTCAGGGAACATAAGGAGACATCAAAGGGTTTTGATAAATATTACTGTACACTTTTTTATAATGTAGTGAATTAAGATGTTACCACCACTGTATAAAAATGAATTTTTAGAGTTTATACTCTGTTTGTTTAGTTAGTAATAAAGTTCAATACATTCAATAAAAGCTATTGTTATTCTATTAAATGAAACATTTATTTTGCCCTTGTGTTCCTTTGCAGACCAGCTTCTGTCTCAGGTACCTTAAATAAATCATAATACTATCTCAGTTATAGGCAGTAGGTGCTGGATCCTGATGGATATGGGCGGAGGGGTTGGACCCTCTTTGCTGAGAAGCTAAATTTTACTTAAAGCTCAATTAAATTATGGGGGAGGGGCCCTGCCAATAAAAAAAATAAGCCAATACATCTCCCTGGATCCCCTTAAATGGATAGAGACTTCAACCCACCCCCAGTGCGCAACCCAAAGGCAGGGGAACATATTGGGCAGCGTGCCAGTGAAATGACATTCAGGACCAGTGTTTTCTTTTTAAATTAAAAAAGGAGGTTCAGGGACCCTTCAGTACATAGGTGTTACGTTCGGTGAGTAGGCGATCCGGAAAGCAGAGGAGAGGAGCCAGGAGGTAGGGCAAACGGGGTTTATTGAGGGATATTCCACAGGACGAAGGAGCACGAAAGGCAACATTAATGACGAGTCTGGGGAAGACTGACTCAGACGAAGACTAAATACAAAAGAAAAGCCACTGATAACGAGCCACAGGTGAAAACAATCAGGAAGAAACACCAGGTAATTAGGGGGGCGTGGCACACATCAGGAGCGGACGGAGCGGGACGTAACAGTAGGATGATGGGGAAAATGTATCTCAGGAGGACTTGTGGTTAGTAAGTCAAATCAGATAAGATCACTTTTTATGTATTTTGCTGCAGCACAAAACATACATATGTAAATATACTGTATGTGTATACACTATATTGCCAAAAGTATTGGGACACCCCTTAAAATCATTGAATGCAGGTTCCAATCACTTCCATAGTCACAGGTGTATAAAATCAAGCACCTAGGCATGCAAACTGCTTCTACAAACATTTGCGAAAGAATGGGTTGCCCTCAGGAGCTCAGTGAATTCAAGCGTGTGCACTGTGATAGGATGCCACCTGTGCAATAAGTCCATCTGTGACATTTCCGCACTACTAAATATTTCACAATCAACTGTTAGTGGTATTATAACAAAGTGGAAGCAATTGGGAACAACAGCAACTCAGTCACTAAGTGGTAGGCCATGTAAAATCACAGAGCTGGGACAACGCATGCTGAGGCACACAGTGTGCAGAAGTAGTCAACTATCTGCAGAGTCAATAGCTACAGACCTCCAAACTTCATGTGGCCTTCAAATTAGCTCAAGAGCAGTGCGTAGAGAACTTCATGGAATGGGTTTCCACGGTCAAGCAGCTGTATCCAAGCCTTACATCAGCAAGTGCAATGCAAAGCGTCAGATGCAGTGGTGTAAAGCATGCCATCACTGGACTCTAGAGCAGTGGAGATGCATTCTCTAGAGTGACAAATCATGCTTCTCTGTCTGGCAATCCGATGGACGAGTCTGGGTTTGGTGGTTGCCAGGAGAACAGTACTTGCCTGACTGCATTGTGCCAAGTGTAAAGTTTGCTGGAGGAGGGATTATGGTGTGGGGTTGCTTCTCAGCAGTTGGGCTTGGCCCTTAAGTTGCAGTGAAAGGAATTCTTAATGCTGCAGCATTCAAAGCCATTTTGGACAACTTTGTGCTAATAGTTTGGGGATGGCCCCTTCTGTTCCAACATGACTGTGCACCAGTGCACAAAGCAAGGTCCATAAAGACATGGATGAGCGAGTCTGGTGTGGAAGAATTTGACTGGCCTGCACAGAGCAGAATATCCTGTGGTACAGCGGAGACTGCGAGCCAGGCCTTCTCGTCCAACATCAGTGCCTGACCTCACAAATGCTCTCCTGGAAGAATGGTCAAAAATTCCCAGAAACACACTCCTAAACCTTGTGGACAGCCTTCCCAGAAGAGCTGAAGCTGTTATAACTGCAAAGGATGGGCCAACTGGATATTAAAGCCCATGTATTAAAAATGGGATGTCAGTAAAGTTCATGTGTGTATAAAGGCAGGTGTCCCAATACTTTTGGCAATATAGTGTATTATCATATATCACATCTAGGTAGGGGTGGCACGGTGGCACAGTGGTTAGTGCTGCTGCCTCACACCAAGAAGGTCCTGGGTTTAGTCCCCAGGTCGGGTGTGGGAGTTTGCATACTCTCTCCATGTTTCCATGGGTTTCTGCCAGGGGCTCTGGTTTCCTCTCTCAGTCCAAAGTTGTGCATGGTAGGTTGATTGGTGACTCTAAGTTGGCTCTGTGACTGTGTGCACCCTGCAGTGAGTTGCTGTCTGCCCAGCGTTGGTTCCTGCCTGTGTCCATTGTTCCAGGATAGGCTCCTGTCCCCCCCACTCCCCCAAGACCCCAGTTGGGATTAAGTGGTTATGGTGATGGACGGATGGATGTCCAGCTAGCACTAATCACTTCATAGTATCCATAGACACTCATTTAGTTGCCCATCGTACATTACATAGTCTGTGAACTGGTATTGACATTAATACAAAAAAAAATAAAAAAATTCAGATGCCAAGGTTTTTTTTAATGGATTTAGAGTTTTTTGAGGGTGCTGAATTAAAAAATCCCATTGCTTTTGCTGAATTGCTTCTAGTTTTTGAGATAAAGGACATCCATGAAAATAATGCATTCCCCCAATGCGACTTATGTGTGATAACAAACGCAATAGCTTTTGGTTTGTCTTTTGACTCTTTAAGAGTGTCCTAGGTAATGAAATATCCCATATAATTATTTTGTATTTCAATTTGTAGGCCTACAATGCTATAAAAGCGACTTTTTGAAGCCAGAATTCAACTGTGAATTTGCAGAGGAAAGAAGTCGGCAACAGTTTAAGTTTGTCAACCCAGTCTTGGTTTATACCCAAAAAGTTCTGTCTTAATAAGTATATAAATGCACGTAAATATATGACTTCATCAAGAAGAGCCTGCATTTACTAAATGCATGAATGACACTGAAGCTTTGGCCTAGAAGAGTTTTCTCTGTTGTGAAGAACTACTTGGGTAATCACAGAGCAGACAATTATGAAGAATTGGTGCAGGATATGCTTGCTAACCAATCAAATGGCAGTTGCTTCAATGCATTTAGGGGTGTGGTCCTGGTCAAGACAATCTCCTGA